ACATATAGGATATGTTCGACATTTATCTGTCAGATGTGATGACAGGGCTTCCTTCCTTGAGTAGAAGGCTGAAGGACTATTAAGCAGTAGTTTGTAAAGTTTTTCTGAAAAGGGCCAGAAAGTACAGTTGAAAGCCCCTACAAACCTAATAGATACTATGTCTAACTCTGAAAGAAGAGCTGATTTTCTGCCATTAAACTGTGGGTAGCCATTTTGACTGTGTCTTATTGAAGAGTCCCAACATTATAGTAAGAGATGGAACCATATAGTGGATAAACTATGTTTCTGCAACTTTTTCTATTGTTCTGAGATTGCTAATGTCTATGCCTACACACACACACACACACTCCTAGTCTACCTCATGTATTACTTTGCATATTTGTATTCAGTAATGTCACAACAATATATACTTAAACTACTGTGCACACTTGAGTTTCTCTGCTGAATCTGTCAATCACCTCACTGCTTAAAAAGTCAAAATACTGACATAATCCCCCATGAAACAGAAGCTGCTATTTGTATAAGTTATACACAGCACCCAGAGGCACGGAGCATGCTACTGAATGAGTAACAAATATATTTGCACTATCTCAGTTATACATGATGTTAAGTTTACTGTTGCTCCTCAGTAAAGAATGAGGATTGTCAGTTTAAAGATAAATGAGAACAGATGTTGAAAAAAAAAATGTTAACACATTTACAGAGATCTAAATTATCTTCAATTTGCATCCATCATTAATTTTTTTATGTTGTATGTTTTTCCTTGGATATAACATTCTAAAACATTTGCTATCTATCACAGATTGAAAACAACTGCATTTCTCATAGGGAAAGCAAATGTGATCTTAAGAATATATGTATTTTTATTTTAAAACTGTTGCTACTGTACCCTTTGATATTTGCACTTTAACTTCCAACTGATGTTTATCTCATGCCATCATCTTCACATTGTAGAACCTGAAGAATGTGGAGAGCTACAGAACAGATCAGAGTTGAAATAATGTAAAAGCCAACCCTAGAACTCGGGCATTCTGGATCCACTGGCACATACAGACTACGGGTTGGTGGGTTCAGGGAAGGGTCCAATTTCTTAGCAAGGGCTGGGAAGAGTTTCATGATCCATCCCAGATAACCTTTCATTGATCTTTCCCTCAGCATTTTTTTTTTATTTTTATTTTTTTTAATGTTTTGTTTATTTCTAGGAGAGAGAGAGAGACAGCGTGAGCAGGGCAGGGTCAGAGAGAGAGGGAGTCACAGACTGAAACAGGCTCCAGGCTCTGAGCTGGCAGTCAGCACAGAGCCCGACGCGGGGCTCGAACCCACGCACCGCGAGATCATGACCTAAGCGAAAGTCGGACGCTTAACCGACTAAGCCACCCAGGCTTTCCCTCAGCATTTTTGAATGTTCTCTCACATTTTTTGGTTTTGTGCCTGCTGGACCTTCCACTGGAATATTCTTACTCATTCTCGTCTGGGAAATTCCTTTTTCCGCTCTATCAAGACCAACTGAAAAGTCAGTTCAAGGTCTCTAGGCCTTTTCAAGCAATGATTAGAACACCTGTCACACTGGATTACAATTATTTTTCTATCAGTCTACCTTCTTGCAAGCAGCAAATATCTTACATTTGCATTCAGTGTTGAAATATAACTGAATGAAAAATAAAAATGAATTTTTACTGGGAAAAAAACTTAAGGATTATTAGTTGGCATATTCTATACTAAAATGTCAAATATTTCTTATTCCTTTTTTATATAGTTTTCACTCATGAACTTAGAACTGTCCTCAGTACCCCCAAACAAGGTACCGAGAAAATAAAACACTATTAATAGGGAGGAAAAGCTTATTCTTAGTAAATATGAATCTATAACTTATGACCTCAAATGACTCCATCTGTTCTTACAGGGTTTTTTTTTTAACAAATTTTGCGTATAGCAATTGAATCTAGTAATTTGGCTTACTAAATCAGAAGGAGAAAAACCAAAAAGTAGGCATATTCTCTCCAGATAAACAAAAAGTGACCATCTGGAATTTACTTTTTTTTTCATATAAAGGAAAAAATACATGGTAAGTTGAAAACCTATCAGTAGACTCTGCCAACTGAAAGTTAAATCAGAAATTAGTACTTTGGCCACTTTTTAACTTTCACCAAGAATTTTAATGAGCCCACCATTTTAAAAGAACTTTTCTCTTTCACGAGTATCTGTAAAACAAACAAAAACTCAGGAGAAATAAAGCAATAAGTAATTACTGGTAGCTTAAAGAGAATAAGTACTCTTAACTCTTCTATGTATTACTGTCAAAAATCTCTACAGAAGCAGTGCCTGGGTGGCTCAGTCGGTTAAGAGTCCAACTTCAGCTTGGGTCATGGTCTCACAGCTTGTGAGTTTGAGCCCTGTGTAGGGCTCTGTGCTGACAGGTCAAAGCCTGGAGCCTGCTTCAGATTCTGTGTCTCCCTCTCTCTCAAAAATAACAAACATTAAAAAATTTAAAAAAAAATCTCTATAGAAGACTTCATACTGCTTGTGAAATTTCTTTGCATCCCAAATCTCAACTTGATGTCAATGAGCCATGAAATAAAACCCTGGAGAATTCCTGCCATCCAGTGATGGTCTCAACGCAGCTTTTTGCTAGGTACTCCTGATGTGTTTAATCGACTAGCTGCTTTGAATAAAGTACACTGTTAAAATGCTACATCATAGATGGAAACAGGATAGAAAAGAAAAAGCCTACAATAAATAAGAGCTAAAATGTTACCTGCAATAAATACTTTGTTTCCTACCAATGTATTTTAGTGTATTTTGCTTCATAAACATATGTATATAACGAGACACAAGTAAAGATGGCCTTCCCTTATTTTCCAATAAACAGATTTGGAAATACTGCATTTTCTCACCCAAGGCACCTCTGATGTGCAGAAACTAGGAATTTCTTCCCTGAGTAAAGTTAGAATAGAGAACGCCGGCACTTACTGATCCAGATCACAAAACCTGAGAATGTGGATTCAAATCTAGATATTTCCGATTCTAATCTATGAGACAAATTACAGCAAAAAACCTAAGAGTAGCTTCTTAATAAAGCACATGGCTAAATAAATGCAAGCAAGAAATGGGCTATACATCTGCACAATTCCACTTATACACCCAAGTATGTGGAAAGGGTTGAACTGATGGGAAATTAAACAAAACAGCCTTTAGTGAGTACTAGAGGCTTTTTGTGTGCGATCTCCTTTGCTTCACACAGAAATGCCTTGTGTTCACTTCCATAATCCTGATTTTGTAAGTGAGAATGTTTGAGAGCTTCTTGAGAATCGGATGTGCTGTAAGTACATCTTACTTCTTTCCTCCAGTAAAATTAATACAAGACTCAGTATATACCAACACGTGACACACTGTCCAGAACATATTATGCAAATAAAATAGATTGCTTCAATAAACTGAAGGGAGCAAATACATATTTGCTGGTGAACTAAAAAGTGTACTGTTATAATAAGGTAACAACATACAAAAACATTAATGATATTCTTTCCAGATTAAAAAAATAAAAACTTCAAGATGGCATGACACATTTACTTAGGAAATCCTGTGCCAGAGACCATAGTAACATACATAAAACTTAACCAACAGACCATGACAAAGAAAAGTGATTTCTAATCCTAGTTCTTCCTTGAATCTAAAGCAAGTCACATAACTTTATGGGTATTAGTTTTCCTATCTTTAAAATGAGGTTGAGGCCTACATGAGTTTAAAGATTCTTTAAAAGCTTAAATAGCTCTGATTATATAAAATACTGAAACTTTGGTCTAGACTACTTCAGATGAATATGAATCTTAGTAACCAGGAAAGTAATCAAATTTATAAACAATACTAGATAGAGGCACACTTTAAACCCTGGTAATGACTCTCACTATGTTCAACATTATAAATGTAAGGGTGTCTGGGTGGTTCAGTCAATTTGATTTTGGTTCAGGTTATGGTCTCACAGTTTGTGTGATGGAGCCTCACATCGGGCTCTGTGCTGACAGTGTGCAACATGCTTAGGATTCTCTCTCTCTCCCTCTTTATCTCAACCACTCCCCAGCTCATGCTCTAGTTCTCTCTCAAAATAAACTTAAATATATAAAATTAAGCTTCAAATATTTCACAAGACACAAATATCAGTGTTTCCCAAGAAATAGTTGCTTACCCAAAGAGTAACCTTATTCCATTCTAAGAGTATTTAGAGTTTGTTTTTAATTAGATACTTTAATCTTATCTCTTTGCTTTACTATCTTTATCTTCCTAGCCTTTACCACCAAACCATAACTCTATTCATAACATTTAGTCTAGTATGTTCCAAAAACAACATCTAACCATCTTAAATATCCCTCTTCTGCCTTACCATAATGTTAAGGGAACCAGTACTAAGATAATGTTTTGGGTTTTTTTTCTTAATTTTTTTTTAATTTATTTCTGAGAGAGAGACAGCATGAGCAGGGGGAGGGTCAGAGAGAGAGGGAGACACCGAATCCAAAACAGGCTCCAGGCTCTGAGCTAGCTGTCAGCACAGAGCCTGACGCGGGGCTTGAACCCACAAACCGTGAGATCATGACCTGACCTGAAGTCAGATGCTTAACTGAACCACCAGGTGCCCCTAAGATAATGTTTTTAAATCCTGCCTTTTATATTTTAGGATACTTTTTTCTCCCCATTGGGATCCTCTAGGGTAAAAGCACACAAAACTCCACACAAAGACTTTAACCAAAGATAACCAATGCAGAGCAAAAGCTATACTTTGCAATTTCAATAGTTAATCAAAAAAGATACAGTTATAATCTGTTAATGATTCAGAATAAACACAAAATTATATAATAGGAAATAAAGAGCATAGGAACTAGAAAGTTAGTAACATAGTAAGTTTAAAATGTCTTTTTAAAAATCTTGATTAACATCAGGAAAAGTCAGTTTGATAGCACACAACTTTGGTGTGCCCTTTTTCAATCCACCAGTATTTTAAAGGATACTTAGTACCAGAATAATGTGCGACTCCGCCACGAACTGAGCCTGGCTGCTTCCGTGAATGTAGCTCTAAAAAGCAAGACAAAGATGCACACGTTACAAAATAGAGACAAGCAGGTCTTTTGTACGCTGCTGCTTTTTTTTTTTTTTTTGTATTTTGTAGTTTTATACCAGGAAGGGAAATAAAGAAAAAAATCTAATTAAGCTCCTATGAATATTTCTTTTGAACAGTTAACTGGAAGTAACAAATGAATATATTTGGTTGATATTACTGTTATTTGTAGAAAGCAACTTAATATCAAAAGTAAATTTGATAGGACCTGTTAAAAGGTATACCACAAACACATGCTTATTTACAAGGTAACAATTATTTCAGAGTTACTATAAGATGTAAGACACAAATCAAAGCAATTGTTTATCTTTAAGCAAAAAAAGGACTTATCAAACACTAAACCACTCTTTTCCACATTATCAGAGTTATAAAATAAGAAAATAGCTTTATATTAGCATTCATTCCATTAGAGCATTTAAATTGGATTTTTTCAAAACAAAATTAAAATTTTTACCACACTGAGAAATGTCCAGTTTTCTATACCTAGGAAGAATGATTATTAGTTGATACCAGTCAATTACAGAAAATAGGATACAAATCTCCATCTAGGATATTTTACTCCTAAAAAAAACCTGACTTCCATTATTTTTGCTATTAATCTCATGACAATGAACTGCATTTGCTTTAAGTACAAATCCTTTTCTAGGTTTTCTGATTATCAAAAAATTTTTTGAAGAAAAAAAACGTATAAAACAAAAGATTTTTGTTAGCATTATTTTTCTATTTCTGTGAAAAGTACTGTTGCTATTTTGATAAGGGTTGCATTAAATGTGTACATTGTTTTGGGTAGTAAAGACATTGTAATTATTTTCTTCTAATCGATGGACATGGTATATCATTCCATTTGTCTGTGTCACCTTCAGTTTCCTCCATCAGTGTTTCATAATTTTTGGAGTACTAGTCTTTGGCCTCCTTGGTTAAGTTTTTTCCCAGGTATTTTAGTTTCCTTTTTAGTGCAACTGTAAATGGGATTGCTTCTTAATTTCTCTTCCTACTAGTTACTAGTGTATAGAAAATCAGAATTCTGTGTATTGATTTTGTATCTTACAACTGTATTGACTTCACTTATCAGTTCTAGTAGTTTCCTTTTTGCAAAGTCTTTATGATATTTTATACATAGTATCATGGTATGTGCAAACTGTGATTTGCACATACCATGATACTATAAATATAAAAGTATAAAAAACCAAATATTTACCAACTTGGTTGCCTTTTATTTCTTTTTCTTGTCTACTATAGCTAGATTTCCAGTACTGTGTTGAATAAAAGTGTTGAGAGTAGACATCTCTCTCTCTCTTGTTCCTGTATTTAGAGGAAGATCTTTCAGTTTTTCACCAAGTATGATGTCAGCTATGGGTTTTCCATATATGGCACTTATTAAGGCATATTCCTTCTAAACTCGCTTTGTTGAGAGTTTTTATCATGAACAGATATTTACTTTGTCAAATGCTTTCTTGCATCAACTGAGATAATTATGCAGTTTTCATTCTTCCTATTGTAACTGTGGTGTCTCACACTGATTGATTTATGAACATGGATCCACACTTGCATCCTTGGGTTAATTCCCACTTGATATAGGTAAATGATCTTTTTAACGTATGGTTGAGTTTAGTTCTCTAATTTTGTTGAAGGTTTTTGCCTCTAGGATACCACTTTTGATTTTTCTAGTTCACTGGTTCCACTCCCTCATGCTGCTTGACTGTTCCATCTCATTATCTGAACTAAATCTTGGAGAATCTCAGAGCTCCAGAGACTGTAGTCTCTTCTCTATACTCAGCCTTTTCTGGTGTCCCTATCCAACCCAAAGCCATAACAACGACCATTTTTATACTGATGATGCCCACATTTATATCTCCAGCTCAGTATATCAGACTTTTACATTGCTCTTACACATATCCATCTTCACTTTGTAGTTTGATAGTTTTCACTAATATATCCCACTTGGATGCCTAAAACTTAAAATGGTCCCAACAAAAACTGATATGCTTCCCTATCTATCCCAGAATCAGCAACATAATTTTCCCAGTTGTTTAGGCCAAAACTTGGGAAAATCTTAGTCCATTCTTCTCTCCTCCTTCTATCTTCAATCATTCACAAAATACCACTGACTTTACTTTTAAAATCCATTCCAAATTCAACCACTTATAACTACTTCCAAGAAGCACTGGCAATAGTGCCCAAAGATTAGGTCCAGGACTTACTGTCTGGTCTAAGCAGTCACCATCTCTTGCTTAGATTATTTCAATAATTTCCTTTTTTCTCCCTGCCTTTGCCCTATAAGCTCTCTGCCAGGCAGATTAATCCTGTTAAAATTAATGAGAACCTATACTATTACCGTACTCAGAACCCTTCAATTCTTTCTTAAATGTGTGAGAAAAATATATCATGTAATCTATTTTCTGCTTCTAATCACAATTCCAAGGAATCTCCATATTTCTACCTAATTAAAAAAATACAGATAGATTTTAAAAAATCTACAGTTGGTCCTTCGAGACTTATTTTACTACATCAGGCCTATAATACTTGCAGACTTACTTCTTGTATACATGAGGCAGGATAGAGTAAAGGCTTAGGGACAGTCCTGAATCTGCTACTTGTGAGCTGTGTTATCCTGAAAAAAATTACTGAACCTCACATCTTTAAGATGAATAGGAAGACATTTCTCAAAATACTGACCTACAAATTAAATAAAATAATGTCAGGGTAAGTAATCTGCATAGCACCTGGCTGTCTTCACAGTACATAATCAAATATAATCAAGAACAAATCATTTTAAAGTCTCTATTCTAAAGTATTTGAATCTTTTAAACATTAGACAAACATGCTTAAATACCATTCAGAAATCATTTTATTGTTATAGTTAAATTTAGTATTGAACTAATATTTTAAAAAGATGATATTCAGGAACCTGTAGTAACATATGACTTTGATCCATCTCTTTAGTCACTAAGTCACTTAAAACCCAGATACTACAAAAGACATCAGGATTTAGTAAAGCAGATTTCATTTGATAAATTTTTACTGAGCAATTACTATGTGCCAAGTATTCATTTGGGCAATGAAGGCCCAGAATAAAACAGAAAACAACAAAAAGGCCCAAAAAACTGTCTTTTTATGACTTACACATTTATTTGTGAGAATACAATTTGTTTACCAAAGTAAAACAGATTATTAGCACACACTAAAAGCCGTAAGAGCAAACACAAAAATAAAAGCAAAAAGAAACATCCCAAAGGTCTTCTGCATTGACCCTAGAAATAGCTATCTTTCATGGGGTGCCTCAGTTGGTTGACCCCTGACTCTTGATTTCAGCTCAAGTAGTGATGTTATGGGGGTGGGATTGAACAACCCACCCCACCCCCTGGGCATGGAGCCTGTTTGGGATTCTTTCTCCCTCACCCACTCTTTCTCCCCTTCCCCTCAAAGAAAAGAGTTATCTTTCATTTATGGAGCCACCCAAAGTAATGACTTAATCCAATTAAATATAAGCTAAGGTGCATGATTTTTGAGCAGGTATTAAAATATATTTAAGGAACACACTTTCAAAATCCTCTCAAAGAAAAAACATCATATAATAAATTTCAGCTTTAGCATGATATTAATTTACATCCTTCTCTGAATTTTACTAATTCTGATAAGGGAAATATTAGTAACTAATGGTAATTTCATCCTAAATATATATTAAACTTATATTTATAAGCACAATGCATTTACTGAATGCTACTCAAGAAGAAAATCTGCATGATCCTTGATACTGGCCTTTGAAATATATCTAGTTTTCTACAGAGATCAAGTGTTTTAGCAAACCATGAATATAAATATTCTTCACCTGACCAGTGCATTGAACACTTTATAAACCAAAATTAAAGACTGGTTCATAAAAATTACTTTATCAGAAAGTTTATTACCATGATACCACTTACTTAAAGACCAATTTATAAGAAAAATGAGATGATTTGAATTTTGCATATAATATAAATGAGATGATTTGAATTTTGCATATAATATATAAGAAACGGTATCATTCTGCTCTGCTTTTTCAATATTTTAAACTTGTGTTAGTTTTGAGTAATCATTCTGTAGACCTATTATACACTGAACTGTTTTGACAGTAACTGGCTAATATGGACCAGCAGCTGATGCATGAGAAGGCAGCTATTGTAAGGAAAGTGCACTGAACTGGTAGTCAGGAGTCTTGTCTTCTGGAGCTGATGAATTGAATAGATATTAACAAAATAGTTGTTAATCTTGGTCAATTCAATCATTTGGGTCTTAGTTTCCTCATCTATAAAACAAAGACAGTGAAATATACATTTTAATCAAAATGTCTGCATGGAATCCCTCTTCTGGATCTGCCTTTGGTGAGACCTTGAGCAAAATTAAGCCTCAACTGTTCAACTGGAAACAACTCTTTCAGTTGAATAACAAAATGTGAGAAGTGAGTTAGATAATACACTAACAGATTCTGTCTGGATTAAATTCTGTCAGTAAATAATTACTTTTTTTTTTTCTTCAACTTCCAGGCTGATATACAATGATCTGCCTTGGAGCAAAAGCAAGCTCTAAACCACCAACCTGTCTGGTGAACCTGAAAAGGGCTTTGGAGCAACACCGAACATTAACAAAGGTGGAATACAAAAAGTTCTTCACTAACATATCTAAGCCAGGAAGTAACTCTTCCCTAATGCATAGGAATCAAATTAGTTGTTATTTCTCCCTTATTCGTGAATAATTTATATATTGGTGTCTATCTGCTTTAGCATGTATGTTCTTTCTTGGGAAAAAACCGAAAGTGGTTCTCTCTTGGGAAAAATCCCAGAGAAACATAAGTGGTTTTAAATTTTGATCATTCTTTAAAATGTAACTTATTTTAAACGATTCACGAAGACACCAAGCAAATGGCAAATACATGAAGTGAATATTTGATATTGTTGGGTGTTACCCAAATGGCAATCTG